TTGCGCATTTTCCTATAGGTATCATCTAAGCGACGATCTCTATGCGTGAGAGAGATAGAGAGAGGAGAAGTCAGACAGCGAAAATAGTAGCAATTGCAGGACTGGTCGGTTGGGAGTTGAGCATTTTTTCGACTATGGTAAAGTTGGCTGGCTCTTCACCCCGTTAAATTATGCATCTCTGCGCGCGCCTATTGTTTCAGTGCATGCACGCACTTACAGCTTAGAGGGCTGTGTTTTCGTTTCGCATTACTACCTGCGACTACATGTTTGCTTCTACCCAGTCGAAAAATTCCCCGAGGAGGAAAACAAAAATGAGTGCACATTTTCGATCTAGGAAGGGGTTAGTTTCCGAACAGCCCAGAATCTGACAGGTAGTGCGCTGTGACGCGTCGGCGCGTACAAATAAATTCATTCTCACAGTAGGATTTATAGAAAATCGATAAATGAAAGCTACATAAATGCCCCTTGTATGTGTCTGATGACGAGTCCGTGACGGTTCTCGCAACGTCAGGCGAAAAAAAATATTGTCCCAGCGATCGAATCGTCTTCTTCTCAAATCCATACATGTATTTTTTCGATTTTAAAGTCTATTCAACAATTTTGGCCAATTTTCCATCCGATTTGGCACGTACTTTAAAGAGTGTAATTTATCCAAGGCAATGGGGCATCAATAACACCGGTGTTTCGCCAATTTAGCATTACAGGTCGATTCTTTTTCCTTTGTAGGATTATTTACAATCGTTATCCGCTCACAACTAAAATAAATGCAGCCCATCTATCCATCTGGCCCTGACCATACGGCAAATGTAGTTTAAGTGGCGGACCCCATATACCCCCAGCCCCAGCGTTATGTTTAACGGGATCAGTGTTGCTAGGGGTTTTGTGGGTGAGGAAATAGGACAGACAGTGAAGGAAAGTTGTAGAAGTAATTGAATAATGGTAAACCAAATTCGATTTGTGGGGAAATTAACGACGCCGTGCAGATTTATGTTGGAATATACTTTAATAACTAATATATGCATCTTAGTCAGTAATTACACTGATATCTGACCTGTCACAAATGTAGGTCTGGCTGTTTATGTCAATACCTCTCATTTATTAAATGTTATTTTTTGCTTTTCTTCGATTTAGACACTCCAATCCGTGGTTATACAGTGGCTGCGGTAAACAAATTCAACCAGATTTTGCCACTTAGCACTTACTGGCACCAGTTCTCGTATTCCGACTGAAAAAACTCCTATTACGGCCGATCCCGTAGAGCAAAATCCTGGAGTTTGGGGTTTATAAGGTTCAC